GAGCTGCCACTGTTGCAGGTTTTCTTGCAACTGTTGTTATTTCTTTTCTTGTTCTTGTATTGCTGCCATCAAATCTGCTAAGCTGTAGTTTGATTTGCCACTTCTCGTTTCCATTTTTTTTTCATCCCACTTCTGACACCAATTTTTTACGCCACTGGTCGTTATTTAATTTCCCGTATAATTTCTTTCAGATGAAACTTAAGCGATACAAGTCCTTTCTTAAATAAAACTAGTTTATTCTTTCTAAATACAACTTAGCAATACACTTAATTTCCACAGTCACGCTATAACTTAAACAAACACTATAATTCACAAAGAACGAACGATTCACGCGCTTGACTCAATTGTCATCTCTATCTCTGTCTGCAATTTAATTCCATTGTTGCCGTCACTTCTTGGCGGTCTTATATACAAGAATACCGCACATCTAGTAAACACTCGAGACTTCACGAAGGGACATGAATTTTCTAGAAGCTCATGTCGTGTTACTAGCGTCACGTGACTTCCGCTGTCGTAACAACTCCTTGTGTAGTAGAGCCACTGATTCTTCGCCTACTTTCATCAGCAGAATGAAACACGTTTTAAAAAGCTTTTTCAAAAAAAATCTTGCTCGGGTGATATTATAAAAATATATAATTTAGTGTTTCCCTACTTTTGCTTCAAAACAATAAACAAAAAAGTGAGGTTAAGATTCAGTTCTTGTTTATAATACATATAGTATTATTAAGTTATCTGTTCAAAGGCATTCTTGGCTCAACAGCTCTTTCTTCATCACTCAACTTCTGCTCTCCTTTTCACCTTAAGATCCCCTATCTCTCAGATCGTCCAGCAGTATATCTCTTTCTATCCCTCGGTCGGTTAGCTTGAGTTACGCCTTCTGGTACCTTCTTTGTCAAATCATCTCCTCGAATAATGTTTGACCCACATCTTTGCTTTGCCATATATTTCCTATCAAGATTCGATTTTTCATCAATACCTCAAGCATTTCCTCATTACTTATTCGTTTAGTTCAACTGATTTTTTCCCATCCGTCTACACCTCAAAACTAATCTTTTAATGTCTCCTTCTCTCAGAGGCAATGTAACTGCTGCATACATCGTCATACTCCAAACCAGAATCAATATACTTGTCTTCTAGAAGATCAAGTACAAAATTTAAGTGATTTTTAGGTCCTTTGGTATTTGTCTGGTTTTTAAAGTGAGGTGAATTGAGAAAATGGTATTTTTACTCGAAAATGTGTTTTTATTAAACGCAGGCAAATAATTACGACTGTAAAATATCATGCTTTATTAGTAAACTGTTAAACTTGTAATAAGATAAAGTTTTACGTCATCTTGCTCTTTGTATTGAGTGACATTCTCCAGGTTATTTAGTTTTTTACATCGAATGCATTTGAACTTTACAGAACATTAAGAGCTAATTCTCTTGTATTATATATACACTGTACTACCATTATTACTCCTAGTTAGAAATGGCATACGTACTCTAAATTCGTTTAAGAAATCCATGGTTCTACTTAGGGTGTCTAGCGGTCAGAAATTTCCACAACTGCTCGTAAAGAAGTCAGGATTTTTAGAGGAATAGTTATTGGATGCAACATGTCCAAATTCAACGTGTGTAGTGTGCTGAAAAAATAGAAGTCAATTGAAGTTGTGGGTGTGAAATATCAGCTTGTGAAATTAAAGCATGCATCTGGCATTAAACCCACCATTCAAGTCCAATAAAAGTTCATAATTGCAGACAGATAGCTCCTTACTGCTAGATTTCAAAAATAATCTGCTCGTTGTTCGATTTAGATGAATCGCTCTGGGTTTGACAACAATTTCGAGAATGAATTGGAAAAGAAAAATGGCTGAAGTGGTATAATAATATGTGCCAGTTTTTAATTGGTTTGAACTTGGTTCATTAGTAATAATTAAGAGAGTCATAAATGTTACACTTCCTGCTTTGATGGAATTCTGTGAGAAAGGACCACAGCTGTTTGCTTTTGCCATACTGAACACCATTTACAGTTCCTTTGGCCAGGAACTTTGAAAGTAACCCAACTTAATCACTCTAAAACGTTTCGGAATGTCTTCTGAGGAGCAGAAAAGATAAACCTCGAAATCTCGCTACTTTTGGAACTGCTTTGAACGAGGAGGGTAATCTATTCTACCAGATCTGTAACAATGGTCTGTGGCAAGTGTTAGTAACACAGTTCAGAATATGATTAATGCCAAAAGTAGACCTACGCATTAATCAATATGCAGCCCCAGGTTTAAATTAGATAAAACTATAGTTACTAGTAGAATTGTTTTTTTTTTAATATTACATAAATGAAAACTTCAGCAGTGTTTCAAATATCAATTGATTAAAAATGACTATACTAGTAATAGTGAACGGTACGTTTACGGAGATACAGTGCTAAAATTAATTCAAGTTTCGATTCCCCCGCGGTGGACAAATTGCAGATAGCCCATTATGCGCTAAAACAACAACATATCGGCTTTAGTTTATACACTGTAGTAGTAATATGGATAACGTTATTTAGTTCTGTAACCTTGTCATTTTTATATAGAATTATGTTGATTTCTTCACAATATTTTCTTAATGAGTACAGACGACATGAAAGAGTTATATATGAATAATTTTGCAATACCTACTCGATTGAAGTGCAAGCAAAATTCAATTAACCACACTGGACAATTTTCAAAGCCAGAAAAGCACCTTCTTTCTTCTCTCATATAATGAATAACAAGTGTATTTTGAAACTTGACCAATAAAAGGTTATGGGTGTTGTTTTTTGGCTCATTTTAAAATATACTTCATAAGATTTTTTTTCTTTAATGATATGACATAAACTATTTTGAATGCAAGAGTTACATAATTTTTCATTATTAGTCACAGGATACTTTTAGTTATTTTTTTCTTTTCCCACAGACGACAGCCTGTCTACATGAACATATTTCTTGGGCCAACGCCTTTGTTCTTGTCTATAGTATTTGTGAGAAGGCCAGCTTTCAACAAGCGCGTGTTTTATTAGAAACAATTAGTGCTATGAAAGGTCTAAGGTATGCGCCTGTGATTCTGCTCGGCAACAAGAGAGATCTGGAACACGTACGGCAAGTTGGCGTGGATGATGGCCACGAGATGTCCTTACAATTCCAATGTCAATTCTACGAAGTTTCCGCAGCAGAAAATTATGTTGGAGTCAGTTTGGCTTTTCAAAGCCTCATTCGTGAAGCGAGGGCAATGCAAGCGCTAAAGACACTACCAGTCAGACGAAAAGTGGGCGCCGCCATGACAGTTTCGAAGATGATCGGTATGGTATTTGGGAAGAGTGGAAAATCTTTACAAAATGGGAAAAAAAGGCCATCTTTATCAATTTGATAATTTCAGTGGTTTCTTCAAGACTGGCCACAATTTCAAACCAATTGATCGTGCGTTTAGTCTTTGTGCGTAATATTGTCATATCGACAGACTGTTATTTGATAATAATATACATATAAATGAACTTTTAATCTTCAGTGGAGTCTGACTTTTTTATCGTGCATTTAAAATTCGGCGCGGGTCGTTCATCCACTCAGTTAGAAGAAGGGATATTTATTTCTCGCGTCTCTCGTAGCAAATATAAAGCGAATTAGTTGGAGGTTTATTAGACATTATTCAGATTATATTAGAAAAAGTTTGTTTATATTATTTATATGTTCGCTTTATATCTGCAATAAATGTAAAAATGGGAGTTAAAACATTTTAGGCTACTGCATTGAAAATATAAACGCATTAGCAATTTACGCAGTTGATCTAGTTATCTATGAAATATTATATATTTTTTCCACAGTAATGTTGGTGTTTTTTGTTTTGTTTTTGCGTATTATTCTCCGTAAAGCGCGTACATGCGTTACCTTGTACATAAACATTAAAAATATGTTCGGAAATCTATTCTGTTTTATATTTAATAAACACGGTCATGGTTTAGACCGAAAGGCAAACCTTTAGAACTTTGATTAGAAAACTGTTTTTATCTGGTTGCTAAGTTGATTGTCTCTCACTTCACCCTCCATCTTTCCTATTTTCAGGAGTCTCATTTCCATGTACTAAAGTTGTGTTATCTAAAGTTATTCTAAGTAAAACATTATTTCAGAACAAAGATGTTTAAACAGAAAAGAGGTAATAATGTAAAATGAATGGAATGTTTGCACAATTTATGTATTTAAGCAACATATTTTATACGTTATAGTAAAAAAGTGACTGACGAAAAGGAATAACGTTAGTTATTAAATTATATAAGGAATCTGAATTTGTACTTTTGGCAAAGTTACTAAGGCTTTTATTTTGAACTATTGACCAGATGTAAGTCATCCAGTCAGTAGTATCCTATCACTAATCGTCTATGCTAGAAAGGATTAACTCTTACTCTTATCACGCACCACAGCTTAGTGTAGGAAAAATACTTTGTAGTATCGTATGGATTCGAACCCGACCCACCATCTTCAAAATCCAGTGTTCTACCACAGGGCCAACCTGCGCCCCAAATTATATCAGCATTGTAAGTATTACTAAAGCTTTAGAATGATTGTATTGAAATTTTATATATGTTTCTTGCGCGAATACTGCTGTATTTTAAGCTTATTAGCTTTCAAACTATTAAAGTCCTTATATCTTATAACTAGGATTTTGAGTCGCAACTTTTATAATGTCATGGTTTGTACTCTCAGTAACCATGTCAATGCTCACATACTTTCGCATTAGCTAGAGTACAAAAAAACATTTCAACTGGGGAACGTAAGATGCGTCGCCATATTCATTGTTAAAACTATACCAGATCGTTTGCTCAGCTTTCATAATGCCAACATAGACATTAAAAGTACAATTCTTACCTTTATCACTGAAATGTTATTCTAAAATTAGATCAAACTGATGTCTTCATCATATTTATTGGTAGGCAGTATAGGATGAACATAGTGTTTCTACAAATCCCATCATTGGTTATTTTAACTTTTACCATAGTAATTTCTATCGAGCCCTCTATCGTCTATAACACCGCCCCTTTAATCTCATACCTTCTAGTATCATCATGCCATTATATTACGAAACCATATTTGAAACACAGTTATGTTTGTATTTTAGAAAAAAATCTAAGAATATATAGATACATATATATATTCAACTGAGCTGAATTTCAGGATAGCATTCAATTACATAATATTTTAAAAGTACAAATTAAATGGAATAGGTGAAATTATGAAATGCGTTATGTTGAACTTATATCATAAACAGAGAAAATATTCATGTTGCAAAACAAAAAATATATATATATGCACATTAATGTTTAAAATTTGTATAAGCATACTAATGCTCAAAAATATGTTTCATGGGCCCAAAAAAATACCTGGTAACGCCCTCTGAAAAACAGTCGTTCCTAAAATGTAACACTACTCACTGAATGAAAGACTGTTTGATAAACAGAGGGTCTTAAATATTGACAAATTTTCTTCGACCATAAAAAACCTAGTCTACTAATAACTGTAACTGGTCTGCATTTTCTTCAAACATATTTTTGATTGGGTGAATAATTTTTATTTTGTTATGAGAATGAATGTTGTAAATATACAAGCTAATAAAATTGGTTTTATGTTTATGAATCTTGATCAATGACTTTTTTAATATATCGTATACCAAGTTTGTGTCAGATTTAATGCCTATTGTAAGACTCTTATTTTGTATATAAATCTTTAATATTAGGATATCCCCCCAGTTGCATAGCGATATGTCTGCGGACTTACAACGCTAGAAACCGAGTTTCGATACCCATAGTAGGCAGAGCACAGATATCTCATTGTGTAGATTTGTGCATAACTACAAACAAAACGATATTAGCATATGTGATAAAACTTTGTCAACTCTAATGCAGACATCTTCAGTCCTGCCAGAAATAAGATTCCAGACATGAGTGTCAGCAATAGGGGTGATCTAGTACGAAGAAAGCCACAGGAATTTGATGAGAAGCATATAGAGTACAATTTGAGCAACTGGCAGAAATGAATGGATGTACAGAAGAGCTGAAAGCAGTGTAGCTGGCAACGAGCTTGAAGGGACAACCACTAGAAATACTTGGACAGTTGTCAGCAGACGACAGGCACAACTATAGAGCACTGGTAACTGCTCTAGAAATCAGGAACACAAAAGCAGTCCGAAGTCTACAGGGCTAGGTTTAGGACTAGAGGCCGTGCTAAAGGGGAGAGCCTGCAAGAGCTGGCACAGGATTTGGCAAGTATGGCACATAAGATCTACCCAACTGCACCACCCGATATCCTCAAGCTCTTGCTGAGGGATCAGTTTGTAAACGCCTTGGACAGTGCACAACTGAAGATACAAGTACAGCAAGCACACCCTTTACAATGCAGGATGCAATGGCCAGAGCTCTTGAATTCGAATCCTTCTTTAAGTCCAGCACAGAGGTACCAAGGTTGGTACAGTCATCTGGATTCAAGGCCAGAGAAGGTTAGCTCTCAGAGAGGTTTGAGGGACTTTGCTGGCACTGTAATAAACCTGGGCACAAGAGAGCTCAATGCTGGAAACTTCTACACAGGGGAGACGATACAGCAGGAAAGGCTGCTACCCAGAAAGGTTGTTGGAACTGTGGATAGCACAATTGAGGAGCCAGTGTAGGA